AGTTTGCCAACACTTCCCTGAGGAAGCCAAAATCCTTTTGGGAGAATATGCTGTGGACACACGAACCAAAATTACAGCTTTTTGTAAAGCCCATCATTCTATTGTTTTCAGAGAAAGCAATGAAACCTTTAAAGAAAAGAATACAATCCCTAGTCAAACATTGTGGAGGTTCACTGATGTTTTGAGGTGGCTTTGCTGCTTCAGGCACTGGATGTCTTGACTGTGTGCATGGCATTGTGAAATCTGAAGACTACCAAAGAATTCTGGGATGCAGTGTAGGGCCCAGTGTCAGAAAGTTGGGTCCCCGTCAGAGGTCATGGGTCTTACAGCAGGACAATGACCCAAAGTACACGTCAAGAAGCATCCAGAAATGGTTTCAGACAAAGAGCTGGAGAGTACTGAACTGGCCAGCAATGAGTCCAGATCTCAATCCCATAGAGCACTTGTGGAGAGATCTCAAAACAGCAGTTAGGAATCCTTCCAATCTGAGAGACCTGGAGCAGTTGGCGAAGGAAGAGTGCTCCAAAAGTTCAGTAGAGAGGTGTACGAAACTCCTTGATGGTTACAGGAAACGATTGATTTCAGTTTTTTTTCCAAGGGGTGTGCTACCAAATATTATATTGAGGGTGCCAATAATTTTGTCCAGTCCATTTTTGAGGTTCTGCGTAGAATGTGTCAGATTTGGCTTTTTGTTTCTCCACTTTTTTTGTGTTATACCAATACAAACAAAAGAAATAAACCTGAGAATGCCGAAACATTTGTAATTGCAACAATTTTGTAGGTGAAGTGCATTATCTGACAGAAATGCAGGGGTACCAATATTTTAGGCCATGATTGTATGATATATCTCGGGTAGCGCTGCACTATTTTATGTTTTGATATTGTACAAGGGTGTTGTGGTCTCACTAGTGTATGCTTGCTGCTCACTTTAGGGAGTTTACTGACTACTCTGATTTTTTTTTTTTGTTTGACTCTTTGTGCATCACAGAATAAACTGGTATGCGATTCCACAAATAATGTTTATCAACATTAAAGTGATACTAAAGGTTCAGATTAAAAAAAAACATGTCATACTTGCTCTGTGGAGTGGTTTTGCACAGAGCAGGCCTGATCCTCCTGTTCTTGGGTCCCCTGCTAGCACTCCTGGCTCCTCCCCCCTGTGGGAGCAAGCCTACTTGGGTGCTCCCATAGCAAGCAGCTTGTGTTATTACCAGACACAGATGTGATCAGAAGAATGTAAAGAACATCATATATCTATATTTTTTAATTAGGCTTAGTGATACTTTGACTTGCTGGTAAAGTAAAAACATGTATTTACTTTGTATCAATGGGCAGTTTGATAGATGGTGTATACAGCACATACACAACACATCCAGTACTGTAATAAGTACAACCCCAATTCCAAAAGAGTTGGGACGCTGTGCAAAATCTACATGAAAATAGAATGCAATGGTTTGCAAATCTCATAAACCCAAATTTTATTCACAATAGAAAATCAAAAACATGCTCAACTGTTCTGGGTCTTCTTTGTTGTATTTTTATTTCAAGATGTGCCAAATATTTTTAATTGGTGAAAGGTCTGAACTGCGCGTAAGGCCAGTTAGGCACCCGGACTCTTCTATTACGAAGCCATACTGTTGTCATAGATGCAGTATGTGGTTTAGCATTGTTCTGCTGAAATATGCAAGGTCTTCCTTGAATGTCTGGATGGGAGCATATGCTGCTCTAAAACCTGGATATATTTTTCAGCATTGATGGTGCCTTTTCAGATGTGCAAGCTGCCCTTTCCATACACATTAATGCGTCCTCATACCATCAGAGATGCAGGATTTGAACCGAGTGCTGATAACAAGCCGGAAGGTCACTGTCCTCTTTAGTTCAGAGGAAGTGGTGCTTATGGCTGCCAAAAAAAGTCAAATTTCGATTCATCTGACCACAGAACAGCTTTCCACTTTGCAACAGACCATTTTAAATAAGCTTTGGCCCAGAGAAGACAGTGGTGTTTCTAGATCATGTTCAGATATGGCTTCTTCTTTACATGATAGAGCTTTAGTTTGCATTTCTGGCTGGCATGGCGAACTGTGTTCATGGATATTGATTCTGGAAGTATTCCTGAGACCATGCAGTGATGTCCATCGCAGAATCATGCCTGTTTTTTGATGCAGTGTCGTCTTGATGGTTCAAGATCACAGGCATCCAATACTGTATTTCGGCCTTATACAGAGATTTCTCCAGATTCTCAGAAATCTTTTGCTATTATGTACTGTAGATTATATATTTATAGTTTTGTACAATGTTACTTTAAGCAACCTTATTCTGAAATTGTTCAACATTTTTTTAGACGCAGCTTTCCACAGAATGGTGAACCATTGCCAATCTTCTGAGACACGATGACTCTTCAAGATGTTCTTTTTATATCCAATCATGTTATGGACCTGTTGCCTATTACCTAATTAGTTGTAAAATGTTCTTCCATCTCTTCCTTGTTAGTACCATTTTCTTTGCCAACTTTTTGTTGTCCTGTTCCATGTGTTTTTTTTTTTAAGGCGTGCTGCTGTCATCACTTTCAAAATTACTTTAATTTTTTTCTTAAAAGGTTCCCAGTTTAAACATTTAAAGTGAAAGTTTCCTGATAACTTTATAAAAATAATGTTCTTTAGCAAGGAACATACATTCCTAATTATTCTACCAAAAATCAGTGTGCGCTGTAAATTGCCTCCAGCATTCTTGCTGGAGGCTGCCATTTTGCTGAAGCCGAGATCCCCTAAGCAGCAGTAAATCTTTAGGCTGGCAGTGGATTGGTGTCTACACTTTAGGCACAGTACTGAAAAATAGAAAGCAACTGATCATGGGCAGAGCAGGGTGCGAGGATTTTAAATATTATAGGAACTTGTTGTTAATGTTTTACATAACTATATATACCTGCAAAAGGCACCAGTCTGAACTGATCTAGCAGGACTGCATTTTCTGACTAAAATTCCACTTTAATGTGTTTTTCTATTTTCTACTGTGAATAAAATATGGGTTTTCGAGATTTGCAAATCATCATTCTGGTTTTAGGTAGATTTTACACAGCTTCCGAACTACTTTGGAATAGCGGTGGTATGTATATACTGGCCCTTACTTTGCCACTCAGCAGGAGGAAAAAAAATGTCCTGACCACATTGGTCGTCCCTGCAAGGACCACAATAAAAGGTCTCCCGTTTGTTTGCTTAGCAGTGACCCATTTGCTTTGATGGCGGACAGCTTGGCCCACTCGCTTTGATGGCGGACAGCTTGGCCCACTTGCTTTGATGGCGGACAGCTTGGCCCACTTGCTTTGATGGCGGACAGCTTGGCCCACTCACTTTGATGGCAGACAGCTAGGTTTGCCATAGCAGGACGGGGGCTGGACCTGCAGTATTCTATTCTAATAGCAGGTCAGTCCTGTGGGATGTAGGATAAAGCTCATTCACATGGGTAGGAAAAAAAAAGCACTGCCTTTAAATACCCATAGTTCTGTGCACATCTAAATGCAGAACTATAGTAATCAATGAGCCTAGGGCCACAAAAATTTGCAGATCTTAGGCCTGGTTCACACCTATGCGATTTTCTGTATCTGTGAATGTAGATGTGTTTTCTGGTTGCCTGGATCTGTGGAAAAATAGCCATAGCTCAAAGATGCACTAAAAATGCAAAACACAGTGCGTTCTTGATGCATTTTACCTGTTGCCGGCCATGCTATAGCCAAACGACAGCTACAGCATGGTTAGCTAGTTCTAGCAGGGCGGCTGTTGATGTCCTCCCAAATCACCGCACCCTGTCCAGTCCCGGAGCACACTCTGTGATTGCTGTGTCCTTTAGTCACAGATCACAAAGCGAGGTGAAGGGCTAATCTCAGTGGCCCTTTACCATGTGATCAGCTGTAAACACAAACGTCTGTCTTTTCCTTACGTGCTGTGACAATGTGAGGAAAGGAGAGCCGGAACCGGTAATTCTCACAACCACTTTTACACTGATAATCAGTGCTGCCTGTCAGTGCCTCCTATCAGTGTCCATCTGTGAAGAAAAATTACTTTTGTGAAATTTTTCTGTTACGTGTTGCATGGCCGTGCAATTGTCAAGCGTGACAGCGCTGAAAGCTGAATATGGGTCTGGGCAGGAAGGGGGTGGAAGTGCCTGGTACTGAATTGGTTAACTGCTTGGTGCCTCCTGACACTTTATAGGGTTTGCAACTTTGGGATGCAGGGCAGGGATTGGGGGTCAGGTGACCTTTCCGTGGGGGGCCGGGAGTGCGCTCTTGGCACGTTTGCTTACATTGGGTACATAAATCTGCCTGCGGCCTCTCGGTGGTGCGCATATTTGCATACTGTCGGTGCCAAGGAGTTAAATGGAAGTTGTGTTTTTTGAAAACCGCCCCAAATATGCAGCAATCCAAGAGTTGTACCCCTCTGACCGGTGAGGACTTTGCATGGGTATCACACAGGGCCTCCTGCCAGCTCCATCCTGCATTGTGTGCAGACTCTAGGCCTCGTGTGTGAATGAGGCCTCAATGTCAGGGCGGGACCTCCTAGTACAGAGAAGATACTCCGGTCTATGATATCACCGCCCTCCTCACACACCTCTGCAGTAATAGTCGGTGCTGGACGACGGGGGGGAATCTATATTAAAGGGAACTCCCGGCTCTCACTGACCCTCACAGTCACCGGATGGAGGGCGCCGGTTGGAGAATCTCTGTACTTCCGTCTCCTAGCAACTCCCTCCTTCCCCCACGTCACCGCTAACCTTCCTCACCTTCTCCCCTCCCCCTTCTTACCTCCCGGTGATGCGCGCGCCGCACAAATGAGACGCTCTGTTCCAAGTCCTACATTCCATCCCCCTGACCCGGCCAATCGCAGGGCTCGCCCCGCCCTCCCCACCACCCGCGCCCTATAAAGCCGGCCATTTCATCGGCAGACTTCCCAGCCCTCGGACGCTCAGTGCTGCAGCAAGAGCCACTCTACCGAACACCAACCGCCATCATGACCGACGCAGCAGTCTCCTTCGCCAAGGACTTCTTGGCCGGTGGTGTGGCCGCTGCTATCTCCAAAACCGCTGTAGCACCAATTGAACGAGTCAAGCTTTTGCTGCAAGTAAGGAATGCCGGGGGAGGACGGGGAATCGCGGGGATGGGAGGGAACGTTGCTGTTCACCCCGGGGTCAGGGTGCCGGTAATCCCGGGAGGAGGGGATGCGGGGCGGAAGGGCGGCCATTGATTGTAATCCGGTGCAGGCCCCGGTAATCCGCAGTGTCCTTGTCCTGCTCACCTATCACTGCCCTGGATTAGTGGGAGGGCGGATCACGTGCCCATCCGATCACTGATTTTATTTAATCTCCGGATCGGCCGACTCCGCCACGTCCCGGCCAAGGTCGCAGCAAGGAGACGGCCTTGTACCCGGTGATCGGGATGTCAGGCCGCTATGGAGGATTGTATGGGGTCATACGTGTGATCGGGGACGTGTCCGCCATTTTTTATTGATTATGCCGCCCTGCACCGGCGTCTAGGACAAAAGGGCACTGCAACGGCCTTCCTCTATGGGGAGGCCGCCATGGCCGGCCTGTGATCGGGGCTACCTGTGCGGAGATCCCGGGGGCCGATCCCTGTCCTTTCCGATGGCCGGCCGGCGATTGTGTAATGATTTCCCGGGATTCTCTCCCCGCCGCTCCGCCCCTCCCCGCACCACGTGTCACCTGCCGGCACAATGAATGGGGCGCTGGGAGGGGCTCTGACCCGGAAACTCGTGCCCTTCCCCCGCCCCCAATGTGTCATTACTGCCGTCTTTCTTATCGAGGCCCCGGGGGAAGGAGTGTGCTGAGGCCGGGGTGGTGCAATACTGCAGCTGATGGCAGGCAGGAGACTCCTTCATAGACGGCGGCCTCCATCGTCCTGTATTCGGGAGTGAACAATGGCAGTCCCTGCAATACAGACTGTGTGGTGTGATAGGCCCAAGCCTGGCCATACATTATACAATTTGTCTTTAGAACTTCATGTAATATGGAGTCATGTTGTATGTTAGCAGGCAGGCCTGGGCACTACATAGGTGAAGGCAGTTGTCTAATGTACGGCTGTCCTTAGCCTGGGCTCACATGTGCACTGTAGCATTCACCTTTTAGGCACACCCCCATTGTCCTCCCTCAGATCACACTTTCATGAGCGCATCAGATGCAGTATGCAGGACTTTTCATTAAAATGCGCATTCTAATGGAGGCCCCATGGCATCAGTGCGATCTGGCGCGGCTGCCAATATTAAATCAATGACACCTGGAAACAGATTGCAAAATGCAATGCGATTGCCTGAAATCGTGAATCAGCTGCTGGAAAAATCAGTCCTGCACCTTTTTGGTGTGGATGCGATTTGAGCCATCGAAAGTGTATGGCTGAAGGCATCACATGTGGTTGGCACAGAAATGCAGTGCGATTCTTGTGTGAATTACATGCGGTGTCCCACATGAGTATGAACCTAGACTTGGGCTGAAGCTGGGTGTACATGCAGAAGGTTTTGTTCAACCAGCAGGTTGAATGAAAAACAGATTTCCCCATCCATGCACGTGAAGTGGATGCAGGGATCCCCCCCCCCCCCCCCCCCCCAAGTGTGCAGGAATGTTCCGCCTCCCCCAATCAGAGCATACAGATCAGTGCTGCAGCAGCTGATCAGATGCTGGTCTTCTAGCAGGACCGTTCAATAGAAGCCAATTTAATGTCCAGCTTCTGTTCAACGGACCGGATAATCAGATTGGGCCAATTCTTGCCAAATTTTAATACTTGCATATCTAGCGTAAGTTTACAGGTGCTCCTCTGAAAAGTGGTGGGTTGCTTTATGAGGTATGGCAGGCAGTGAAGAAGTGATCTCCCCCTTTCCCCATACTGCCGGTTTTATCTTCTGAAAATGCCACAACTTTGTACACAGTACAGCCCCATTCACACCAAAAAAACTTGTGTAGTAACGTCTGCCTAACACCTGTACCCTATCTTGATCCAGCAATGTCCATGAGAGCCTCGATTCTCCAGGGACTCCTGATTGGCTGAGGCAGCAGTGGGAGCCAATCAAGAGGGGGCAGGGCCAAGCTGCGGCTCTGTGAATGGACATGCAGAGCCATGGCTTGCTCGGGTGCCTCCATAGCAAGTTGCTTGCTGTAGGTGGGGGATCTGACAGGAGGGAGGGGCCAGGAGCGCAGGTAGGGGACCCAAGAAGAGAATAGCGGCTGCTCTGTGCAATACCACTGCACAGAGCAGGTAAGTATGACTTCGTTTTTTTTTTTCACTTTATCCCTTGCTAAATCTTCAGAGAATCTAGTGCTGTACAGCTGCTTGTCAAAACTAATGTGTACTGCCCTGTGCAGATTACATTGGCGAGATTGTATTGAGCATGCATGCTCAGGCCTGGCCTGGTGGAGGAGACTGGTTAGCAACTGGGGAGCACCAAGGAGGCCACATATTTCACTGGATTGCAGACTTCTGGGACACTGGGAAATTTGTAACATGACTTTCCACAGCCTGGTCTGCTCCAGTGCATTGAATGAAAGCACGTTAACACACATTGCTTTACCACAGCCTATTCCTTTGTATGGGCCGCCTAATGCATTATGTATGCAATGCTTTTGGCAGCACAACACACAATGGTGTGCATTGGGGGTGTCATTTATTATTTGCCCTTTTGAAGTTATTGGCTATTTCTAGGATGTGAGCTTTTCCTATAGTTGGAGTATGTTCTTGATGTTTGTTCTTGTCTCTTCCAGGTCCAACATGCAAGCAAACAAATCACAGCTGACAAGCAATACAAAGGAATCATGGACTGTGTTGTCCGTATCCCCAAAGAACAAGGTTTCTTGTCCTTCTGGCGTGGTAACCTTGCCAATGTGATCAGGTATTTCCCAACCCAGGCCCTCAACTTTGCCTTCAAAGACAAGTACAAGAAGATCTTCCTTGATGGTGTTGACAAGAGGACCCAGTTTTGGCGTTACTTTGCTGGAAACTTGGCATCCGGAGGAGCTGCTGGAGCCACCTCCTTGTGCTTCGTCTACCCACTTGACTTTGCTCGAACCCGTCTAGCCGCTGATGTTGGCAAAGCTGGCGCTGACAGAGAATTCAATGGTCTTGGTGATTGCCTTGTTAAGATTTTCAGATCCGATGGGCTTAGAGGCCTCTACCAAGGTTTCAATGTGTCTGTCCAGGGAATCATTATTTACAGAGCTGCTTATTTTGGAATCTATGACACAGCTAAAGGTGGGTGAACTTGGAAACAGCTGGTTTTGCCGAGTGTGTGTATAGAGTTCTGAGCTTGTAACATAATGGTGTATTTTTCTACAGGCATGCTTCCAGATCCCAAGAACACACACATATTCGTCAGCTGGATGATCGCTCAGACAGTAACAGCAGTGGCCGGCTTTGCCTCTTACCCATTCGACACAGTGCGTCGTCGTATGATGATGCAGTCTGGAAGAAAAGGAGGTAAGCGGTGACTCTTCCCTTCTAAAATGAAAGCTGTGTATACCTAAAGGGATGTCCTGTGAAATTGTAGACCTGCAGTGTAATAACAATGCAAGTTTGGCCTAATACATTATTGATACAAGGACCCTACATGGTTTAGAAGCTCAGATAACATATAGCTAGTCTTGTACCTTGCAGTGTTACAATCATGGATTAAACAAACTTTTTTCTCTTGCAGCTGAGATCATGTACAGTGGCACAATGGACTGCTGGAGGAAGATTGCAAGAGATGAAGGTAGCAGGGCTTTCTTCAAGGGTGCCTGGTCCAACGTGCTCAGAGGAATGGGTGGTGCTTTTGTCTTGGTCTTGTACGATGAGCTCAAGAAATACATCTAAGTTTATCCCTGTTCAGATGTCTGTGACCTGGCATGCTGTATTATGTAACATACCCTGAATGTTCTGGACTTTCTATTTTTTTTTTGTCAAACACACCTTTTTATTTATAAAATGTAACTGGTAATCTTACTGGTTGATATTTGGGGAAAAAAGTTTATTCCATTTCACCAGCTTTCCACATTAACATAAATCATTCCCTTATACCCACTTACTACCAGTGGGGCCTGCATTTGTAGTGCACATCTGACAGTAGGTGGGCTTACTTGATGGGACTCAATTCAACGTTCCTTTATTTTTTATTTCTGTCATTCATGTTTTTAAATAACCTAGGTTGGAGGAAATAAAAAATATGGATCTACCTGTTCTGTGTTCTTTTTATGGCTGTGAATAGCTGAACTGTAAAGCATGTAAACGGGTGTTCTTCCTTCACAGGTGTACCTAAAAGGGTGGTGTTGGACAAGGCATTAAATACCTCTACTACATGGTGCTAACCTACCTGGTTACAAAGATTACATGGCTGGCTTCAAATATATATCTCTATCATATTATGGGCAGCTGGGAACTTGGATGAACAGTTCAGAGGTTATAGGGGGAAACAATTTGCCCTGTAGGTGCTACAAATGGTTGTAAGCAAAATGTGCATCTAGTGATAAAGGAAATACCTGTCTGTAGCATGAAAGGACTTTGTTGGGATATAAATATGAAGACTGCGATTTAGAACTGCCTTTACAGAAACCTTTGATAATGAGCTGCTTGTTGGAATAACATTTCATGGTGCTAGTTTCAAAGCAGCTGTCAGTATTGAGTAGCAGTCTAAAGTTAGGTCCACACTAGACTTTTTTTTTTTTTTTCCTTCAAGCCAGCAGGATGAATGAAGAAAATGGAGATCACTGTACTAACCCAAGTTATGATGCAGTCATCTCCCCTTTGTGGCCTGACAGGGACTGCATGCTGCTGGCCTTATGCACGTTTTCCAGCATCCCTGTTTGACAGGAGCCGGTCACGAGACTGACTTCTGTAGGACAGACAGCTGTGCATATCGGCAGAAGTTGGCCAGTTCCTGATAAATCAGGTCAATTTACGGCCATGTGTACAAGGCTTTAGAAAACAAAGCATGAATGTATGCTGGGTGTGCCAGTTAAGTAGTGAATGGGTTGGAATGACCTCCTTGAGAATAAGCCTTCAAACAAATGTTGGGAAGCCAAGCGTCTTATGCTTAGATCTTGACACAGATTGCAAGAGTTTTTAGCTTCAGTACTTTTGAGTATTAGAAGGAACAAGCATGCTGTCTTCATTGTAGGTGGTTGCCATACTTTTTCACTAGAGATAAAGGGGTGGTCATAAAAGGTGTTGGTGGAGAATACATTACCTGGTCCATGTTGACTGGTATTGTAGGCATATGACAGGCCTTGCATATCTATATTAAATCAGGTTTATAAGCACTCTTATGAAAAGTTCCCTCAAATCCCAGCTCCAAATCTAACACTGCAAATTAGGTGAACTCACATTGTAGCGGCAGTAATCTTCTGATTCCTGCTGTGGCTAGATGTGACCATTATTCATTATCTCTGGTTGCTGGCAGCGGCTCTCTGCACAGCCACTTATTACCTGTGGTGAAGCCTGTCTTAATGAATGGGGACAGTGGCCACTCACATCCAAAGCAGGATTGCTGTGTCTACAATTTATTCCAGTGTAAATGTAGCCTAATGCAATATTCATACCCTGTCCTGCTGCCTACACAGTTGGAGGGTTCTGCCTAATAATCAATGAAAGCCCTGTGGGCCTAACTCTTTTACTATTGTAGGATAATGTTTCTACTGCTAAGCTTCTGTTGGAAGGGATTGCTGTCTTTTTTTTTTTTTCTTCTTGTCCTAGTGCCAAGAACTGAAAGGTTGGAGTTATGTTTTAGGTCCTCTTTTACATGATGTATATGTGGGCCTGTGATGGGAAAGTTTTAAAGTATGAACAGCTATCGGGTTGGGTTGTGTACTGCCTGGAGATCCTTGCTTTACCCAAATGCTACTACTGGATGTGAAACTGCTTGGCTGTTGCACTATAGCAGTGAAGATGTTTAAAGGACTGTCACCTAACTTGCTTTAGTGTAGTTTGCTGACAAAAATTGGCATGCTGGCTGTAATAAAGTCATGTGTTCCTGAAAAAAATAATTATGTTGTGTATACAAATAATAAGTTAAGGTGCAAAACACTTCTTCCCTATTACATTAAGGCTGGGTTCACATAAATGTGGGGCGGCATATCACATGTGATTCACACAGGAAGCACATTGCATTCCTATGCAAATCACATGTAATTTGTGTGCAATGTGATTGGATTCATACATTTTTGAATGGCTCCAATCTCCCCGCACCAAAAAAAGTGCAGGACCCTTTTTTTGGTCTGCACTAGAATCGGATCGCATGGGTATTCACACCTATGCGATCTGATTCTGCACATCGCACTGTTTTGTGGACCAATTTCGGGGTGTTAACATACACACCCACAGCGGTTTGCATGAATGTGGGTGCGATTCTGATGCAGTGCAGAATTTGCACAGAAAACGCTGTGAATTCTGCACTGCATCAGTGTGAACCATTGCTCAAAAGGCAGATGCCATGTTTGTACAAATCTAGTGAAGCATCAGACTGCTGTAAATTACAGATGGGCAAATGTCCACCAAACATGACTGTTTGTATCACACAGCAAATCCTTCAAAAATACTGTAGGAGTAAATCAGGTTCCACAAAAGTGTCTGGGATAGACCAGCTGTTTTGTGAAATGTAAAACTCTTTACCCATTTACATGCCAGCAGTCTATTATACATTGCAGTTATTGAGTGTGCAGATAAACATTATGGAAGGCATTTGCAGTTATGCCAAGGGTCAAATCCACTTCATGGATGTTGTGTCTGTGATGGTGTCAGAAATCTGAGATGGATAGACTGCTTGTTAACAAGCAGTCAGTGCATGCCTTTGTGTCAGGGCAGTAAAGCTGAGCCAGTGATAAATGCCAAGCATGCTTGTCGTGTGTGAGATTAATACCAGACCTCTCCCTGCAGAATAACATGTCAGTCAAAGTATGGAATGCTTGCCCACTGCCTCTAAGTGCTGTCAACAATAACCACAGATCATTTCTTTTTAAAACTGGAAAGGAATATCTCAAAAACAATATAAAGAGAACACATCTACCTCTGTCCCTGTGAAGGAGATTCACCTTAATTGACCTGTCTACGGCTGTCAATGAAAGTAAAAGAAAATCCCAAATTTATGCTGTCTCCAGGAACGTAGTAAAGGGAACTCTTCCAATGAGGACACTAGTTCTGGGGGGGGCAAAAGGTTTCCGTTAATTTGCCTCTCACTTCCTGTTTTGGCTATGGGACAGGAAGTAAAGGTAAATCTCCCCATTGGGACACAGATTACAGAAACTGGCAGGGGCTATAACCCTCCCCTACTCTTATCCAAAAAAAAAAAAAATGTTTTTTGCCTTTAATTCTACTTTAATCAGTGGCAAATGCAGTACAATACTACTGCTAAGGTACAGTATATACCAAATCTGTATTTTTAATAAGCTTCACGAACTGCCCAGTCACTAGCCTGCTAAGCGTCATGACAATCCTTATGGTTCAGTTTAGTAGTGCAAACACCAATGTGTAGTTCGCAGCTTATATTCAGCTATCACTAGATATTCAGCTAGAAATTTACAAATCAAACCAAACTCGCTGAAACAGGAAGTAAGTGGAATCTGGAACAGGGATACAGAAGAAACCTACTTTTTTGGTTCCATTCACACCAATGCGTTTTTTTAGTGCTTTTTTGTAGAAATACACTACAGTCCATTTAACATCGTTTCCTATGGCATATGTTCACATTAATGCTTTTTTGAGCTTGTTGGAAAGGGTCAGGGACTTTTTTTTAGAAGCAAAAAGCAGCATTTTTGCTACAATAGAGTTCAATGGAGTATCTGCTGAAATGCATGGTAGTGCGTTTTTGCTGTGTTATGCATTTTTATTCTGCCCAGCAAAAAAAAAAAAAAGTCCACTTAAAAAAAAAAAGCAGAACAAAACATGTGCAAAAAGCACTGCAAAACAAACAAAAAGCAAACTGCATAGGTGTGAACGGAGCCTTGGAGTGGAGAAGGTTTAGAACAACTGCCATTTTTTAAATTGTGACTGTATCCTGGTTGGGCAGTTGCCCTTCACTTCTTGTAATCAATAAAAACCAGGCAGAACTTATAATACCATCATTTTATCCAAAGCCACCAAAATAGTTTTGGCTGAAGTTGGGAATTAAAGTCTGTTTTAATTTTGCCAGCAGGTAAGCTTATAATAAAGCTTTCTTGTACGTAAAATGAATATCTCCTAAATGTGCACCGTTTAGGAGATATTCTCTCCATTTAATCCGGCACATGCTCTCTAAAGGAATGGCATACCCGTGCTGTGTGCCATGGCCTGGGACTCCTGCGTGGGAGTGATGTCATCATGGCCCGGCCTGTCAATGCCGGAGCTCACGAACCTGGAAGGAAGAGGGGTGACGGAAGCCTCTGCCGCAGTGACAGCGTGCCGCTGGAGGGCTTCGTTTTCAGGTAAGTTTTACATAATGTGCTAGTATGCAATGCATACTAGTACACTATATTACCTCGCAGGGGATTTTTTATTTTTTTTTGTTGTCTGTGGCTTAGGCTGGCCATACACTATACTATTTTCTGTCCGATTTCTGCCCAATTTCCTTTAGATTTACCTTCAACTATGTAGCACAAGGGCCGGCCTAATTGGACACAATTGAAAGTGTTGTTTAGGTTTGACCTCCTATTTTATAGTTTTTGGTAAATCTAAAGCAAAATTCTTAAGAAATTTGTATAATGTATGGCCAGCCTTACTTACCGCTTTAATAACCAAACCCGGGTTTCCTGGGGATTTTTAAATGTTTAATTCCTGTTGAGATGAGCACTGAAGGTTACGTTTTCATAACGAAAATCATTTCCTGAAGGCTTTCTAATCCAATATAT